ATCACCTGCCTCCAGGCTGGATTGCTGCCAGCGGCAGGGACGTGCCAGTGGGCGCTTGCCACAAGAGAGCACTCAGCAAGTACGTGGGCTGTTCCTGACTGTATTTTTCTTACAGTCAATCTTTCACAGATTTATGCTGGAGAAATGGGAACATTAAATATCCCCTTGCTGTAATTCAGCATGCCGCAAGAGATACAGATTTAAATATTTAGTAGCACATAACTGGCTAAAAGCCTCGGCAACATTTTAAAAAATCACTTTTTAATAAAACTGGACTGAAATATTCCCCACAGTTAGAATTTATGGTTTATAATCGGTGTTCTTGTGATAAATAGGAGTGAATATATATTTATGAACAACAAATGTTAATGAAGAAATAATATGGGAGCCCACCTTCAGGCTGTGTAGCTGCTAGTGCTCTGCAACATTCCCCGAGGAATGCTGACATTGAGCAAACAAAAAGGCCAGATCAACAGTGCTATTAGACTGAAAAATCCAGGAGGAAAAGAGCATGGCCTGGGCACAGAGGCCAGTTCAGAGGCGGCTGCACTCAGTGAGAGCCTCTGCACACGACTGCAAAGGCACGACTGAGCTCGCTCCTTGCCTGCAGATCACAGATATCGTGTGTCTGCATCGCAGTCGGCAAATGCTCCAGCACGACTGATTTGTATCGGGTGAGCCATTCATTTGCATGTGTTTCCCCATGATAATAAACCTGGAGGCAAAGCCCACAGTAACTGCTTCTCTCTTCTGTCCGATGGCAGGAAGAGATTTATCGCGGGGTGGTGATCTCGATTACCGCCTGGGCGCAGCACAGGCAGGAGCAGCATGCTGATTTCTCTGCACTTCACACCCACTAGGAGCAGTCTGGGTTTTAATACTGGCCATCTTCTGCACCAAAACGTCGAATTAACAGAAACCAGACCGAGGAATGCCAGAGAGTGTGGGGGAATCCCTCCCCTCACATAGCAGCATCTGCACCTGTGGGGGCTCTGCATCCCAGCCCGGACTAAGTGGGGGGAGCCACTGGGCTCCCCAAGGTTTGTGGAGGATACCACAGCCCATGGACTGTGCAGGCAGAAAAGCAGTTCAAACACCATCCCAGGGGACCAGCTTCAGGGAGTCAGATGCACAGCAGGAGCTCTTGGAGCAGCCATCACATCTCTCTGCCCCACGGGGAGGCTGGCACTCGCCCCCACACTAGCAGCGCTGAAGAGCTACAGCAGCCAAAGGAAACATTTCCAACATTAAATAAAACAGACATGTTTATGGTACAATAGAAGCTCTGTGATCTTGGAACACAATTTGCATAAACAGACAATTTGGCTATAAACAATTTCAACATTAACTAGTATTTACATATAGAACAACTCACTCAAAATACAATTAAAGGCTTTGATGGATTGTAAAATGTCAACATATTTAAAAGGCTACAATATATGCTTGGTTTATATCTCCTTGGTCAGACATAAAACTGGAGTTTGTTTACATTTTCTCTGCCAGAGCCCAGAGCACAAGGGGCTTCTGGCTCCCTGCATCAGGACGTGCAGGTATCAATTTGCTGGTTATTCCTCCACACAGGGAATAATCTCTGTTTTCTCTAAGAACATATTTAAACTAGGGAGGCTATGGTTCACCTCACCACTCCACTCACTCCGTACCCCTAAAAGAATCTGCAGGGCCGCTGTTTTCCATATTGCCCAAACAGAGGCTGGTAGGACGGCATTCATTCAAGAGTGAGATATTGCAGCAGAAGACAAGACCTGGTCCTCACTGCAGGCTGCCTGAAAGCAGAAGAATCCCAAATCAGCAGCAGCCTCTTCCAGTTTGGGCCAGAACCTCTAGCTGTCCAGAGGAAGCATCTGACTCCTCACCATTTACCAGAACAAAGGCCAAAGCCCACCTCTCCCCTCTCCACACTCCCCACAGAGTCTTCTGTTCATAGGCTTGCTACTTCACCCCACAAGAAAGCTAAGTACCTAACACAAATGGGAACATCTCCAGTATTAGCAGAAAGTCCTCCCCACCCCAAAGAGGCTGCCTCACTACTGTGACACTTGGGAGACACGTGTCCCACCACCCTTGGAGAACAGGAACAGCACAGCTCAGGCACCCACGTCCTGAAAGATGCTCTTTCCTCCCTTCAGGAGGAGGGTGCAGGCAGGAGCTTTGCTGGCATGGCAGACCCGCACAGCTCAGCTCACCAGGCAGGAGCTTTGCAGCACAAGGCAGCCAAGCGAGGTGGCGAGAACCAGGCTGAGCACTTCTGTCTGGTTCAGCTTCACACCCTCAGAGCTTGGCTGTCAGAACCAGCACACAAGTCACCCAGCCAAGAGTGGTGACTTGTGTGCCAGGAGTGACGCATCCCTGGAAATCTCACCAAACACTTGGTAACTTTACCCTCAAGTTCTTCTCTGCCTCTGACATCACACTGAGATTACCTGGGAGAAAGAGGAGCTCAAGTTTCTTCCCAAGCCGCACCAGCCAAACACACCACCTACTGCTGAAATAATAAGCAAGAGCAATTGTCCTGTCTGATCATCCTGAGAACATTTTGAAAGCTGCTCACAGCATTTCTTCTCTTCAAGGTCAGATTCTTCAGGGACTGAACAATTCTGCATTCAGCCTAAAAACACAAAGCTTATTTATAAACTGCCTAATATATTTTAAAGGGCAGACATTCCACATTTTACTTTTTATTGCCACTTATCTTCCACTCTGCTGTAGTTTTTTATCTTCTGCTATGCCAAGGCACATCTCCGCAGCCCTGCTGCTGTGTGGCTGACACAGTGGAACACTGTGAACTCAGTTAAGTGCAGCCCTTGTAATCTGTCAGAGCTCATGGAGGGGATCCGGATGCTTTCCCAAATACCACTGAGCTTATAAAGCAAAGCAAAAACCCATAAGCAGTCATTGACTGTGGAGCTCAAAGAAAGACTGAGAGCTATACTCACAAAACTCACATCAGCCTGGGAAAGTGGTGGAGGAACAGCTCCAAAAGCGAACGGGCTTTGCTCCTGGCAGAGCAGCACACTTGCTGGGAGTTTATTCCACTCACAAGGAGCCATTTGCCTCCCTGTACTCTTTTATGCTTTCCTTCCAGGCTGCAGCAACTGCCCAACAAGGGCAGCAGGCCAAGGCTGCACGTGAGTCCAGGCTCTGCCAGCACAGAAAACTCTGCACCCTGCTCCAGGGGCACAGACAGCATGGGCAGGTGGTGCAGAACCTCTGGGACGTGACTGCAGCTGGAGAGAGCAGAGGTGCTGCCCAGGTAGCCTGTGTGGGGCCCCCCACTCCTCTCCTACTTCCCACCACCTGGGCTGGGCAACGCTGCCCCTCTGCCCGCAGACCCTGCCAGCTGCTGGCACCACCAGCAGCAGAACAAAGAGCTCCTTCTACTCCCCCAGGTTCAACAGTCCTGTATTAATTTGGCTTGTGGAGGGTTCTCATCCCTCTTTATCCTGTCCCTCTTTTCCGCAAGCACCCAGCAGGGCCTTCCTGTGGTGACTCCTCAGCTGGACCCTCCTTCTCTAGCCATGTTAGAGCCCTTTGTTCATGCTGCTGCTGCTACTGCCCAGCAAGTTACAAGTATTATTTATTGCAACACAGCACATGGATGCTCTCTTTTCTATTTGTCTGCATTAAATAATTATTTAAGCTATATTAGGTATTTTTCAAAAAAACTGTCAGCACCTGAAGTTTCATTATTGTAGTTGGAGCTATAGAACAGGGCAATTCATATGGATCCTAGCCCTTGCATGGAAAGGACTTTCTGCAGGCTGAAATTATGGCATGAGCATGTTTTATGAGACACTAGAACTTAACCTTGAAATGTGGGGAGATGGGAGAAAGGAGTGAGGGGAAGCAAGCTGTCCAGGGTGCCTGACACAGCAAGAGGCTCCCAGCTGTGCTTCTCCCAGAAGCTCAGGGGCAGGAGCTGATGGTGGGGCAGTAGCAGACAAAGCAACACGACTGTCACCTCTGGTCAGGGCACCACTGTGAGTGCGCAGTGCTCCTCTCTGCTCCGCCTTCCTGAGCAGGAGAGGGACTGTGCCTGGCTCAGGGACTGACAGGGGACTGACCCCTGCCCTCCTGTCCCTCCTGACATCTCAGAGGCCTCTATGAGAGTGCTGCAGCAGTCAAGACAAAGCTCACTGAAATCTGAGTGCTTCTTCTCAAGGTCCTGTCCACAGCCCCTGCCTGCACAGCACATTTGGACTGGATCTACATCATGGGATGATCAGCAAAGAGATGGGAACCCACACAGTTTTCAGTTCCTGAAAGTGCATTTTTTTCCTTTATAGATTCTTGATAATCAACCTACTCAATGCTTTTTATTTGCATTGATCACATTTTATAGTATGATTAAATTTGTATGGAAGCAAACCAATTAGTTTTGTTTTACACTTATTGAATCCACTTTATGGTCAGACAAATTAACTCAGTTAGTTAGTTTGATTTATCTAGCAGCATAAAGCTTAACAACCTGGGATCTCAGAGAAACAGTTTTAAAATAATTATCTTTTTTGTTATTTTTTCCTTGGGAAAAATCATAAAACCTGGAGGCAGGTATGAAGAAGCCAACACTCATCACAGACTGGCTCTTCCCAGAGATTTCAAAACTCAACCTGATTGTTTGCCAAAGCCTCTGTTGAAAAGGACCACCATATTCTACACAGAGATGGTCTCCTGGCAGAGAGTGAGTGCCAGTGGTTGGCAAGTATGGAAGATATTCTATGAAAAGGACACTGACAGCAGATCCCTGAAGAGGCCAAAGTCAGTTCTACTGAACTCCAGGGTAGAAGTAGCAATATTTTACTTTATTTTAATTATTGAACTGTTCTTATTTCAATCTACAAAAAAATACCCTTTTTCTGATTCTCCTTCCCATCCCTCTGAGGGAGAAGGGTGAGCAAACAGTTGTGTGGGACTGAGTTTTTGGCTGGGGTTAAGCCATGACAATATCCCCTGTTCATGCACATTTGCTGCATTTATCTCTTTCCAGAAACTTGTTATCCCAGGAGCATCTGATCATCCACAGCCCATTAGAGCTGGCACTTAGGAAGAATCTGACACTCAGGACAATGCCGACCACGCTGTCACTCGTTCACAGACACAGATCCATCAGCTGGGGGTAGCTGGGTGCTGGCCAGGCTGGCTGCAGGGGCAGGGACGAGCACAGGGTCTGTGCCATGCAGGTTTGGGGGCTGAGGGCAGGGCAGTCTGGTCCTCATCTCCGTGGGCAGATGGAAGCAGAGCCCAGGCCAGGAGGGTCTCTGCAGAGACAATGATGGTGATGCAATGACCCTGTTTTCATGTCAGATGGAGGGAATGGGCAGCACCTCCCAGAAAAACAGAGGATATTTCTTTAAGAGCTGTGGCTACAAAATCACTTCTCTGTGGTTGAAGTGATTCGGGACATGCATCTTGAATGGTGAAGGACTGCAGCAGGAGCAGCTAAAAGCCCCGACCCAGAGGAGGCTCCTGCAGGCACGATGCTCTCAGAGGAGGCAGTGCAGAGTCTGGGGAACAGTGCATCCCCCCACTTCGGGGGATCCTCCTCCAGGACGGAGAACCCATGGCACTGAAGAAACTGAACTGGAAGTTTTCAGACTGCTATGATACATCCAATTTTGCTTTTTAACAGTTGTTTCTCTTTTTCTCCTGTCTTTGATGTTTCATTTCTTTCTGGAACAATAACAAGAGCAGATAGGCATTCTTTAATCTGCTCCAAGGGAAAGGTGGAATGCCGTTTGCTCGCTGTGCCTCTTTTGGTCAAGCATTTTTATCCTGAATTGCTATGGGGAAAGGTCTTGGCTCTTCAGGCACCAGCTTTTGTCTTTTTGTTAGTTGAAGGGTTTTTCCCAAAGTGAGTGCTGAAATGCTTCAATGATCTTTAAAAAAACATTGTGCAGATTTTGTGAGATTTCAGGCAGCGGTAAAAGCAAAATTTAACATGCCGAATGTCATTTTTTTTAAGGAGTTAAGCAAAAGGCTACTGGAGCTGTCAGAGTTTAAGCTTCAACCTTTATGTTTACAAAGCAAAAAGGGCAATTAGATGTGGAAAAATAAATTTTTCCAGGACTCTGTCAGCAGTTGTGGTTTGTACTGAGACTTCTGAATGACAGGCTAGTTTAGTGCCGCAGGCAGAGAGTCAGTGTAGAGCAGCCCTGACATTTCTTTGATGCTAAGCAGTGTACCCTAATAAAGATGTGCTTTGAAGTCACTCCCTCTTGCCTGGCATGCAGGCATTACAGAGCATTCCCAAGCCAGCAGGACTGGGACTGGCTGCATGCTCCAGGCCTCCCATGCCTGGCATTCTGCTTCCCTCCTTGCTTCAGACTTCCTCCACACCTCCATCCACTGAACCTGAGGAAGAAAGTTTTGGAATAAATCAAAGATATAGCTAATAGGCAAGTTCTGTGCTTTCACCTCCCAGCTATTTCACGAAGCTTGTTTTCACCAAGGAGCTGAGGACAGAAAACCTCATGGTCCTGTAAGCAGAGTGCATGAGTGAGCGCAGCCCAGCCTGTGGCAAGGACAGGTGCCCAAACTTACAACCAGTCACAGTCCTCCAAGCACCTGCACGAGCAGCTGAAGGCAGACCTGCTTTCTCAGCAGATGGAGTAAGCTCCTCTTGGCTCTTTCCTGTGCATGCTATCAGTCAGTTTTGAGCCTGTGGCCAGGCTAGAAGAGCTCCCTGTGAAGGGAGAGCATGGACTGCAGACAGCAGTTCCCCAGTGCCAGCTATGAGCTCCTGACTGGCATTCAGGGAAGGACTGCACTTTCTTCCCATTCCCTTTCTATCAGCCTCCTGTTCTTCACGCATTTCTTCTCTCTGCAAAGACCAAAGTGCAAAAAAAGAGAAGAACAGAAGTGGGGGAAGGCACTGGGAAGCCCATCTCCAAGTGTGAAGCGACAGCAGATGGCAGAGGCACTGCTCTATGGCAGATGAAGAACGTGTCAAAGCAGCCATTACAGCAGCCTGCCTGACTGCCTTGGCTCCCAGCTGCCAGCACCCGTTGGGCTTGGATCTCCCAGGGACATAGCACATTCTTGAGCCTCCTCCCACAAAGCTACAGACACAGGCACTGCAGCGGCTCCTCAACCCCTCAGGAAAGATGCAGCAGTGCAGGGTCAGACCATGGCCCTGCAGCACAAATTTTTTTCAGCACTGCCTGGGTATGAACTGCTCCTCACATGCTCAGCAAAGTAACATTGTTCCCTCTGCCATTTACTTCAGTGGCTCATGCCAAGCATGGCTTTTGGCATGCCTCCATACACAGCCTCCAGCCTGGGCACACAGGGCTGGGAGGGAGCAGGGCCAGAGCAACAGCAGCATACAGCTGCCAGTGGAAGGAAGACCATGGTCCTACCTCAGAACTGGAGCAGAGCATCCCAGAGTGAAAACTTAATTAATTATAACACTAAGCACTGCTTTGATGCCTTTACATTTACAAAGCACTGAGTAAACACTAACTAATTAATCTACTCTACTTAGCAATTATATAGTTCTTTATATTTTCCAGGTCCTGTGCAAACATTACCTAATTAATCTACTCAATTATTTCCATGTTTTGTATTCCAGAGCACTGCACAATGGCAGCACGAGGAAGAAGCCTTAGCAGGAATAGTAGCAAGAACATTCATCTTTTAGGTGTGCTTTGGGGAGATGTATTGAGAAGGTGCCAGCAATCCTGGACAGTGCTTCCACCACAACATGCCAAGAGAAGTAGACAAGTCTAAACTAAAGAAATATTAAGCATTTTCCATCAGAAAGATCCTAAAAGATCTGAGTCTGCCAATGACACACTCTCCAAACAGGGATTAATGCGCACCCCCTCATGCAGAGCCACAGCTCTCTGTTTATTGCATTTTAACATTGTCAACAGTGCTTGCTGAGGTACTTGCTGTGCTCTGCTGACCTCCACTATTTGGGATGGCATGTGAATTGATTGCAGTTGAAAGATTCTTACTGGAATAAAATGAGCTTCTCAATTATTGCTATCCAAATATATGCCTGTGTTCCAGTGATCTCCACCAGGAATCACTTCCAAAACCCCAAGTTCATGACAAAGGTATCTCCAGCTCGCAAAGTACAGGTAACTGTGTTGTCATCACTGTTGAGGTACAGGACAGGGGAGGTGAGGTGATGCTCTTTCTGACACAGGGAAGGGAGGCTGTGGGGACAACGTAGGGCTTAGTGGTGTATCTGATGAATAAATGATAAACTCTTTAGCAAAGCAATCTGCAATCATTTTTTATACCTTTTGTCAAACACAGTGTAGGAGATATGCATGAGGTATAAATGGGATGATGAACAGGTGAACTAGATGAACCAGCCTTTCCTTGGATGTGTTACAGTAACTGAGGAACTAGTCGCTTCTTTACTGTGCTTCTCTATGGCACTGTCACAAAGGCACATATGCACAATTATAAAATAATATAATTAGTTTCATCCATGCTCCCCTGAAGCAAAACACTGCAATGCTGCTCAAGCCTGCTGTGCTCCTTCTGAGCCGGATCTGCAAGCCTTTGGGTGGAGTTCTGGGTGGAGACTGCTGTGGCAAACCTATCCATGACCTGCCAGGTACCACGAGAGAAGCTACAGCAGCAGTGTTACAATTTAAGTTGGTCTCATTCCCATGGATCTCCTGGGACTACGCTTCCTTTGCCCACTTTGTACTTGACAGAGAATCTCATGCCTGTGAAAGGCAAGTACTTCACTCATAGTTCTGGCAATTATTTAGAGTTACATTAACAAACAGATCAAGCATACTGCTTAATAGACAGGTAGTATTTAATTTTTCATTATAACCTATTAAAGATGGATTCTCTCAAGTTGCTGTAATAGAAGAAAGCTTTCTGAAAAGGTGATTTGAGTACAACTACCTGAAAAGATTTTTCTTCTGACTGATACAGTGAGCACTGCTTATGGGCAGTAGTAATTGGAGTTCTGATAGAGTTGGCATTGGCATTATTAGTAACTAGTTTTTAAATTAGTAACTAGTTTTTAAGTTTGAATTAATTAGAGGACTATGCATCTGAGGTTAAAAAAAACCCAACAAATGTTAACGAAACTTTTACCTGTGCTTGAACTTGCACACCCCAGCCTGATTCTGAAGTGTTCACTCACATCCTGGCTCTGCCCCACAGGCAACAGCAGTGTTGCTCCCAGTGCAGCATTCGACCCAGGCAGATGGGCACCGACTCTCCCAACAGCTGCATTCACATCCATTCCTGGGAAACTGGGGCATGGGAACACTGCAGAAGGGAGCAAATGGGGCAAGGGGAGCTGGGACAAGGAACCAGGTAGCAGTGCCACAGATCCTCCCAGAGCATCTCAGCATTGCCCTCCCCACAGCAGGAAAAAGCACTCTGGGCACAGGGTAAGTAAACAGATTTTCTTCCTACAGGAAAGACCTAAGAGAAAATTTTAACCAGCAAATGTAAACAGGTAACAAAACTGATGCTGACACGGACAAAGAGCAGCGCAGAGCAGCAGCAACCACTGAAGCCTCTGCTCCCCGGTATGCATAGCTGTCCTAGCAGCAGCATTCACACTATCCTATCCCCCCCAGCATCCTCTCAGGTTGGATGAAGATGCTGTACAAACCTGCAAGGAGATGAGAAGCAAGCAACAGGATGGCTCCAAGCACCTGCACTTCTCAGTCCCACTCTGCAATAGCAGGACAGAGGAGCCATGTTTTGCATACCAAGGATGTCAAGCAAAGGAGAGACGATCTGTGCTGGGGAGAGGGTCAGTATCCAAATGAGGACAAGGCCAAAGGAGGAAGATGGACATCCAGTGCTTCTCTGTGACTGCTCAGTTGGGAGCAGGGAGATTTTCATGATCCACCATGGCCCCTTGGTAAGATCAAATCAGGAAAGCAAGCAAGAGGCACGCTCTTTCCCAAGGCTTCCTGAGTCTTCAGTTGCAGACAGATACAATGAGCTTGAGATTTGAAGGGTTCCACACATCCTCTGCAATAAGCAGCACCAGCATGAGCAACAGCTGTGACACGTTTCTGCCACAGCAGAAAACAACTACATGGTCCAAGGGACAAAGGCCAGAAGCCGGGATACAGCACCTGCCAAGGATCAATGATCACAGCAGCCTGATTTCAGCATCACTCCACAGCTGAATCAGCCACACCATCCTCAGCCTGCTTGGACCAGCACCCTACACATCTGTGCAGTCCTGCAGCCCTGCTGCTGGCTCAGGCCACGAGCCCAGGGTTAAATCTATGCTCAGCGGCTTCCTGCCCTCTGCTCTTGGGCCATCCCCTCCACACATGCCAGGTGGAAAGGAAAGGAAAGCTAAGAACCTGGATGAGAGATAAGGAAACCATGCAGGGAGCCTGCTGCTCTTGGGGGAGTAAGGGGTGAATCACAACTTCATCAGCCTACAAGGAAAAGAACCAATTATCTGGCAATTGTATGCAGTCTTTTTCAGCGAGAGGCTCATAACCTAACCAGCCCTTGCAGTCAGGAGGAATAAAATATATGCTGACATCAGTATACAGAGATTCCCATTGGAAGCCACTTTCACTGCAGTGTCGTGAATCTTTTCAGAAGCAGCTTGAAAAGATTCACTCAGTGTATCAATCTTCCTGGGGAGCAGAGCTGATGATGGTTGTACATAATAATGCTTAAGCCAATTCACATGCACTGTTAGTGGCTGTCTACAAGTCCTGACCCTAATCAGTGCATTAAATATAAACATATAACTAAGAACTCTGAAAGACCCTCTTCAGGGGCAGTGAAATCCTCTGCCTTGGCCACTGTTAGCTCCTCAGGCTTCTTCTATAGTGGCACAGTATCCCCCCTTCCTTACCTTGGTGTGTGCTTTACTGCTGACTCATAGGTATGTCCTGCACTTGGGCCACTGAGGAGGTAACACAGGACACTGCAGAGGAGGCAGCCCCTGAGCATGCTGTGAGCTCGACTCAGGGGACACTGCCATGACTTGTCACAGGTCTGCAGGAATGAAGTGCCATCCTAGATCAAAGTCTTGTGAGAGACTTTCTGTGAAGAAAGGGGATAGAAAAGAAAGCATATTACAAAGCAGATTATAGCTGCCTTCACCTTCCCCCCTCTGTGTCACTGAGGCGCAGCTCCTGATACACTGCTGTGCCCTGATTGTGTGGGCAGCAGCTCTGAGCTGGGAGCCTCTGTGCCATCCTCCATAACAACCGCACTGAGGGTAGGAGAGCCCAGATGCAGTGTTTGGGCCAGGCTGAGTCCAAATCCAGTGTTAAGAGCCCTCTGTATGTTGTTTTCTACAGCAGCTGAATCACAGATACTGCTTCATCAAGCTTGAGATTCGTCAGCCATTGCTAGTGTTTCACACAGTAGCAAAAAATATTTTAAAGAAAGTAGGCATCAGAAGAAAGCAAGCACACTGGCTTCTGGGTCTGCCATCCCCCACTGAAGCCTGGTAGCCTGCCTGCTGCCAGGCCTGACAGGTAGGCAGAGATGGGAAAACCCCTCATGGCTCTTTTTATTGTGATAGCCCTATATGAAGCTGCAAACATATCTGTCACCTTCCAGCACATTGTTTACCAGCTCTCCTCAACATTCCCCAAACAATATTTTCTAGAGACTGTAATTCAATACCTCACACCCCAGAGCTGTAGCATCAGCCCAGAGAGCAGCATGATGAATGCATTGTGTTCCTCCAGAGCCTGGGCTTCGGAACTGGTTTGTGCTGTTAATTATCCCTCTGCTTTTTGCTATTCTCATCCCACCTGTACCTCTGTATTTATCATATGGGTCTACATGCACTAAAAACATCCTTACTCTTTAAAGTATAAGGAGTAATTTATCCCTTTTGTGCAACACAAGGCAGCTCGGGGGACCAAATGGCAAGACTTGATCAATAAGGCACTCACTAGATTAGAGGCATCGGGGCTCGGACCTCAAAGTGCTTGTTTAGAAGAAATGCAAGAGAGTGAACTAAGAATGTTAAGCACAGTTACAAAAACAATTTCCACCACTCTCCCTTCCCCATCCCTTTCCCAGCCTTCATCCCAGAGACATCCTCACACTAATCAGTGCTGAGAACACCCTCCAGAGTCAGGCCAGCCCAGGTCAGGCTGCTCACTGGGAAGGGCTGTTCCTGCCCTCGCAGGCAGGGCAGCGCTGTCTCTGCAAGCAGCCAGTGCACAGGAGGAGCACCCCACTTTGCTGGAAAGCAGCACACCAGCCTCCATCTGTTCAGCCCCCAGCACCCACTCAGCATAGAACACTGCTCTTGGGTGGTTGTTGCCTGGTCTCACCCAGGGAGCTGCAGCCGTTCCCCAGAACACTCCCGCTCACTCCAGAGTCCCACCATGGTTCACTCACTCCCCCAAACCTTTAGTTAGTATAAATGTTGGTATAAATGGAGTATAAATGTTGAAGGCGGCACACTCATGCTCATAGCATGCAATCCAGAGGATCAACCAGTAATACTGACAGGTAACTTAGACGTGCCAACACCTCTCCTTCATGCGTTTCTAGTGAGCATATCTTAGACCTTTGTCCTCACTGTACTGCACTCTCCCTTTCTCAACACTCCAGTACTGCTGCAGGGCTTTCTCACATCTGTGCTGAAGTCTTGTTCTCTGCTTATAATGACAGCTTGGACTTCTTAGGAAACCTGCAGCCTTATGAAAACAGCCATGATGTACCCAACTCAGGATCCCTGTCAGGATTGCTCTCCTGATTTCCACCAATGGCCAAGAGGCTTCCTCCCACTGAGGCACCACACATCTCACTCCTTACAAAAGTGAAGGGTAGTTGATGACCACAAGGACACTTTGGTTCCAGACCGCATACAGATAATTAAGACAGGTAATTACGACCCATGCTGCCATTTCTTGCACTGGGAATTGCTGATATTTAATGACATTTCCAAAATATTTTTAATGGGAATTTCATGTCTTGTTTCTAATATGACATTTATCTTCTATTAGCATGAAAACAAATAGAAAAGTCTGAAAATCATTGCCTATATTATCAATTACTTTATTGTTGGTTTTATTACATTCTCCAGTAAGCTGTCACAATCTGTGCCTCCTCCCATTTTTGTGATGGCCAGCCACTGAAAGCCATAATGTTTTCCATGTGATTTATACAGGGCCCTAGTGATAACTTTATTCACTATGAGGATAATTATCAGCTACATTGTTAAGGCTGCTTAGTTGCCCTAGGGGATAATGTGTCAGAAAGGTTAAAATATTGACAAGCAACAAAATATGTATTATAATTACACTGGTGCCAGGACAGATAACTGGCTGTGAGCAAGGAACTGAGCTACATCTTTGCAGCCTTCTCCCAGAAAAGACAGAAATGCTGTGGTCACACTGAACACATCCCTACAGGACTGCAGCAGCCTAGGCCCGTCACCTGGAGGGGACCCCAACAAAGGGCATGCTCCTTCTCATTCACATACATTGACCATTTAAGCTCTGACAACTGTGCTCTCAGTGAGTTTCTTTATGATTCATAATTGAACAGGATGCATAGCTGAAGTAGAGGAGGTTTTTCCACAATCCTTCTGTATTTCTTCCCATGTCCCCTAAAAAGGCTTTTCTTCATAAGAATGGCAGAAGGAGGGAGAGGAAAGAACTGGCATCTTTGAAATGAAACATTGATTTCTTCTGGGACTGGAGCAACCAGGTGCATGCCTTATTGGTATCATGGTATATAGGTATAATCTGAAGGATGTTGCTGAGATAAATTGCTTTTTGGTTCAGGCACTAACAAAACGAAGCACTGAATAACTTGGCACTACATCTGAAGTGAGACCATAAAACTAACCTTGGTCATTCCTCCAGATCTACTATTGTTACATCAAGACTAGACCGGGGATGGAGGAGCTCATAAATAATTTCTCATGGAAAGCACGTACACCAGCCAGACAAAATCTCTCTCTGAGAAAATGTGGAAAAGTAGTAGACTTAACCTACTTCAAAATGTCATTTTTTGAAGAAAGAAAAAGCCAATCCACATCTCTTTCTTGATGCCTAAAGGATGTGTCTGTACCGCAGCAGCATGTTAAGCACCAAGCCCTAGACCTGGCTTTGAGCAGCTGAAAGAACTTGCTGCATCAAATTCTGTCCCTTCCCTCCAGTATAAACATATTGGAAATAGATGGTCACCTATGGATAAACATGACTGAACAAGAACTGTAAAACATTTAATAAACTACATTGTTTTAACTTTCTTCTGCTAAGGAAGTGCCAAGGACTACAGAAATTGTATTTACCTCAGGTTCATCTACATCTCACTGGATTTGTCCAGGGGAACATACATAGTGCAGAGGACTGTGGTCCTAGAGATGAGGGTCACAGCTCTAGCCCAGCCAGCCTGAGACACCCTGCAGCATTTCTCTGGAATATGAGCTCGTGCTACCCTTTCACTGGCCCTTTGAATGAGCCATGGATGCTGGAGAATTAGAGGTAATTCAACAAAATATCATTTCTCTGTTCACCACAAGTACAAAAGCGAGAGCCTTTGGCTTTCTTTTATTCAGAACCAAGAAGTCTGGTGCTATAGATGCAGCTTTGTGCTCATGAGCAACAGTTTTTCAACCCAAGAGGTGCAAGACACACCCCTGGGGCAATAAGCAAATTCAAGTGCCCAACAGTAATTACAAATAATGCAAAAAATTAGCTATAGGGAGCCCACAAGGCACTCCAGCTCCCCTCTACAGACTTCCTGAAGTCTGGAGTTGCTTAATGCAGTTCTGGTGGAGAAGCTCCTTGGGTACTCACAAGCACATCTGTCTCCAGGCTTAACATTTACCCTAGAGCTAGACAATTTATTTCTGCAGCACACTGCTCAGGGCTTCAAATGTAAAGACCTCTGCAAGGGCGACCAGGGAGCTTGCCTTCCTGCCTGATCCCCAAGTTATTCCTCCTCCATCCAAGCAGTTGTCTGGCACTCAGCAAAGTATCAGAGCCAAGCCTGACTTGACTTAAGGACCTACTCATGTCACCCCCATTGCCAGCTCCAGCACAAATGCACCAAAGTCCTCAGAGCATGCCATCTGCTCCCCATGCAAGGGTGTTTCCATAAAGAGGCATCACTGCAGTCAGCTCTCCCCTCACATAAGATGGAAGCCTGAATGCCCAGAAAGGCTCCTTTTCTCTGAAAAATTGTTGTTAACTTCCCAGATGACCCCCACACCATGCACTGCAGGAGGTGTTAAAACATGGACAGATAACCAAGAGCCTCCTCAGACGACAGCTTTGTGGGACTGATTTAGAATGCCTGGCTCAGCTTGGCCACAGCTGGTACTGCCCAACACCCTGTGACAAGATAAGCAAGACCTGAGCAGCACAAGCTGCAACAGAAGCTCATTTAGTCCACAGGCACCTTGGGAACTGAACGTGTTTTACAGTGTTACATCAGCACATGGGGAACAGATTACATAAATGGAGGTGAATTAAAACCCATATCTCATGAGGGCAAATGGCAGTGCATGCAGCATCTGCTCAGCCTGCAATTTCAAAGCAGCAGAAATTTTAAGTACTACCATTTACAAAAGGTTCATCTTCACCTTTTGTTTGACCGTAAATCTCTGAAGCTCACCTTGTTAAGGAAAAGTGTGGAACAGCAGGAGTCTTGTACCTCTGCCACACCTCCCCCAGTGCATTCCTCTCTGATGCATTACAGATCATCTCCAGGAGAGATACATCTACATTACAAAGCATGAATACTCCTTTCAATAACAGATGTGTCCACCACACGCCTGACAGCAGGAGACAGAGTATTTCATTTGCAGTCACCTGCTCCCACCATCAGCTCAGCCTGTTCTGGGAAACAACCTTAGGAGGTATTACCTAGGTGTGCCTCAGGGAGCAAGAGCACTGGGTTATTTGGTAGGAGTTTTCCTGTGCTTGTCTTTGGCCCAGTATTAAAACATCCAGACAAAATCACAGAGAGGGGCTGGTGTCAGCCTGGGGAAGGCACAGGTCATTATATCTTCTCTCCTACCAGATGCACTGAAGGCTGAACTCCCTCCTCATTTGAAAGAA